TTCAGTTCTTGGAGAAGAGGACCAAAATTGTCCATTCATCTTTTTTGGGATTCTACACCAATGGTAACTTGCAACCTACTCACCCCATACCGTATTTATATTGATTAAATTTAATTAAAAAATCATAAATAAATAAAAATGGGAAAAGTGATAAGTTTTTTGATCAATAAAAATGCATCAAAAGTTAATAAAACTTCTAAAAAAAACAATATCAAAAGCTCGTATCGCTATTTTTCTAGAACTATATTCATTTCAGACAGAGTACAAAAATGGGTCCACGTGCAAAAAGCTAGATTTAGCCTGATTATCAATCTTTTCTTAGAAATGTAAAACCTCAGTCCAACGCTTTACGTATCTTCTTACTTTTTGTCTTCAGGCATGTCAACGAGTTCAATTGTCTGCAATGCTAACCACACAGTAACTATAACCATTACAAATGTAACTGACATCGATGCATTCAACGAAAGCGATTGGCGAATAGATAACAAAACAGAATGTGAGCCGACATTCATGGACACGACGGTCACGTATACCAATTTGCAAGTGGCTGATTGCGCTTCAATTTCCGAAGATAAGAGCACTTCTATCAGATACGTTTTCGAGATCCGTGCGGTTGTTCCGGGCAGCAGTCCGATCCAGGCCTTTGATCACGTGATTGACGCCGTGTGTGAGTACGTCAATAATGGCAATGTCACATCCAGCTTCATACCTTTAGTGAATCGTGGCGATAACTCGTCAGGTATGTCGTGTTAGCTTGAGTAAAGTATACACCTGTAAAGAAACTGAAGCGTGTTTTGCGGTACATTAGATGCAAAATTATAACACCTTCGTTATGTAGCCAAAAATAAAATTTGCAGAAGTTCCATGTTGAGATTTTATCAGGTATATACTAGATTATGCACAGAAATTTTAAGCAGACGTTGTGTGTGAATGAAATGTGAAGATTCAACTCATTTAAGCCTCACTCTGTGCAGAACTAATATTTGTTACTTTCTTAATCAGATTCTGCAGCTTTTACATTCAGCCTTGACGTTTTTGAGAACTCTGAGCTTACCATTCCTCTTCCCAGCGAAGTGAAGCTCAATCAACCATTGTTTTTCCGAGCTCAAGTGGAAACATCAAGCGCTGCACCAAACCTGGACCTCTTCATCGTGCAATGTAATGCGTCAAAGTCGAACGACGCAAATGTCCCGGGCCACGATGTAGTCCTTATTCAAAATGGGTTGGTACCTTCTTGAAGTTTCCCGAAACAAAAGCATAATGTATTTTATCATCTACAC